CTGAAACAGACTCTTGAAATGCAAACTGGATTTTTTTTATTGTGTGCCTAATGGCCATTTAGAAGTTATTGTGAAACGAAAAACTTTCTGCCAACCTTGAATATCATCCTGAGATTAAACAGGTTCTAAATACTCCTTTTGCAGTCATCTCAATGCCAGGCTGCTTTGGTGTGACAAGCCCCTGCAGGTGAGAACTGGTTCCTAGAGCATATCACACTCCATCCACCTCAGCTCTGGTGCTTCACGGTTGCAGATTGATGATGAAGATCCACTATCTGCTCCTGGGTCTCCCCCAATCACAAAGACACTAAGGAGAAAAGCCCAGTTCCCCTTCTCACCATGATGAATATGCCAACTTATTCTTTCCATCTTAAGCATAAGACACACATGCGCAATGCTGTAAGGAGAACAACTCCGTGGAATAAAAAGGAAAGAGTCAGTGTGGAAAACAGATGGGGTCTCAGGGAAGATGAAGGGCCCGGCAACCTATGTCAAGGCAGAGGGTTATTAACTGAGTGCAACCCTTTTCTACAGTGTTGTTTATCCCCCTACAGGGCATACAAAACCATTGAAGATGATGACTTGAAGTTTCCCCTCATATATGGAGAAGGCAAGAAGGTAAGTGCCTGTGCTTCTCAGGATTGAGAGAAGCCTGTGTCCCCTTGTTGCTCTGCATGGCCTGTGGCAGCAGCTCGTCGTTTTATAGCTTTCCCAGCTTGAAAGAATGCCACATCCATCATCCTTCAGGCCACCTGTCTTGAAGGTCCAAGAAGTGGCAGGATTGTAGAAAAGGAGGTGGGTGGTAAACACCAGGGATGAAAGTCAATTTTGTGAAAATAACGTCCCCCTTCCCAGTCCATTTTTACAGTGTTGAAACATGACTACTTTCACAAATATCATTTCATTTTATATCTGACAGCAGACTAGGAGGCACATCCATTTGCTAGAGGAGACAGCTGGAACCGTAAGGTTAAAACAGCTCAGGCAGAGCTGCACAGCCAGCCAGGGGCAGCTCCAGAAGTGAGCTATGGCTGTCTGTCCCCTTCTACCAGTTTCTTGCTCCACCATGGAAGCTGAGGCTCCACCTCAGAGCCTCACTATAATTAAGCTATAGCATCCCATCAACCAGAGCCCAACTGAGGAGGCGAACACTATCATCAGCTGGGCCCCAGTCAGAAGCCAGAACTGAGTAGCACAGGGTTGAACCAAAAGAAGGACTGGAGATCTTCAGATGCTCTGTGAGCAGATATTGGAGGAGACTGAAATCATGGAGGAAAGATGAGAAAGCTTTGAAGCCCAATTAGAATAAACGCCTTCTAAATCTTTGCTTTCTTCCTCTCAACACTAATACATTTCAACTCAGTACTAAGTGTTCGAAATAGAAGTGAAATGTGGTCACATGAAGAAGAATCTTCAACTGAAATTTTTTTCAGCATTTGATAATGTTATCAAGAAAAGCGACTGACGAGAAAACCAAAGCACGCCTTCCTGCGCAGAACATATGTGGGCTTTGTGTGTGTGTGTGTGTGTGTGTGTGTGTGAAAGAGAGAGAGCACACAGAAAAGTTTTCATTGGTGTAGCCCCTCCATGATCCTAAGGGAAGGAGGCATTTCATGAATGAAAGCAAAACATGAATATCTGACCCAGGTGGGGATCATTTTAAATGTGGCCTTCATTGACCATGTCTGGCTTAGAATCATGACAGGGCCCAGCTCTGTTCCTGAAAGAGTATGTGTTCTTCAGTACGATAGGTGCCATCAATGTGCCTCATGGTTCAGGTCAGTGACCTGCACTTGCTTCTGCAGCTCTTTGTGGGGCTGAGATTCTCAGCATTACCCTGCTTTCTCCAGTGAGTTCCAGTAAGACCACATTCTGTTATCTTTGTAGCCCTAGTGCCTGCCCAGCCTGGCCCCGACACATGGAAGACCTTCAATAAATGCCTAAGTATGAAGTTAAGTTGTGCAATTCTGTTCAGTAAACTTTCAGTGCAGCAGAAAAATGGACTGATGTGTTCTTAGAAGGTTATCAGCAAGGAGATTTAAAGGGTCAAGGATTTCTTCCAGTTCAGGTCATGAAAACATCATGTTTCTCAAGCATTTCAGTTAGTTAAGGCTTGACAGTCCTATGATGAGCAGCTGGCAAGTTCTGTCATTGTACCTGTCGGCCTGTTTAAAAGCTGATGTGGGCTGGGGGGTATAGCTCAGTGGTAGGAGTGCTTGCAAAGAGCATGCTCCATCCAGGCACTAAGATTGATCCCCAGCACTGCAAAGACAAACTTAAATAAATACAACTTAAGTAAATAAATGCAAGCCACTGTGTCTCCTCTTGACTTTTATTGGTGGCCTCTCTGTGACCCAAAGTAGTGCACCATCCCTGTCTGAGGCCTCCATGATTTCAGGCAGTTCCCTCTAGAACATTCATGGGGGTTTTTTCTCTGGATGCCTACTCCTACACAGGAGGCTCTGAGTGCTTTCACAGCTGTTACTTTTTATTTCCAGAAACGCTATTAAGATTTGTGTGGGTAACACCTGTATGCTTTGTAAACAAGTTCAGGAACTTGCAGGAACATCAGATTTCTTTGAACTAAAACACAGGCATGTGCTTTTTCCAGCCAGAGAAGCTGCCCTGGCAGGGAGAGATGCAAGGGCCACAGGGGACTCAGAATCTTCACAGTTCACCATGAACACCTCTTAGCTGGAAGGAAGTCTGTCCAGACTCCCAGCAGAGCAGAGGTTTCTGCAGCCTGACTGACCAGAGGTCCCCAAGCTTCACATGTCATGTTTGCATTTTGACTCTGGCCCTTACCCTTTCTACTCAGATACTTTCTGGTTTGAGACCAGCTCCAAAATGCCCAGCCCTTTTGGAAAATGATGATGAAGGTGAAGACAAAGTATTGTATCGGATAATGGATTGTATTGATTCTTAGCCATTATTTACTTCATCCGTACCCCTGTGAGGGTTCTTACTACTCAAGGACTAGAGGGAGGTTTCAAGCTCAGGTCTTTGTACCACGACATTACATGGAATATAGTATTGATGACCTAAGTGTTCGGCCACTGGGCTCCATTTCACCCAGTTCATTTTGACTTGCATTCCCCCTCCCTCTGAGTCTGCCTGTCTCGATGCTATCCAACCTTCAGCACGAAGCTTAGTGCTACCTCCTCCAGGGGACTTTCTTAGCAGAATTTTTATCTCCTGTAAACTCACATAGTCTTCATTGTCCACATGTCCTTCAGTACTTGACCATATTTCCTATGTTATTAGTTAGACATTACCTCTCATGTTCCTTACTAAGCTCCTTTATAGTAAGGATGAGGCCTTAGAAAATTGTGTCCCCTATCACTTAGTGGGTGCTCAGTAAATGTTTGGGTACATCACATCTATGGCATCTCAGGAGATAGTTAAGCAGACTGTACAGATATTAGAATACTAGTGTTGCTTCCTTAAAACATTTTTTAAAACCCAGCAATTTGAACAAAGCTTGAGTTCTCAGCCCAGAGGTCTCTGGGTAGCTACTGCACTAGTGAAATTTTGTTCCTGTCCACCCAGAGGGAATTTGGAACACTAAAAGGATAGATCACAGAGTTGCTAAGAATTTACTTTTTTAGTCATAAAGCCTAACAGTGAGCTTTGGGAGGTCAGGAGGGTCCTCTGATGTTTTTTTGTTTGTTTGTTTGTTTGTTTGTTTGTTTGTTTGTTTTGCTAATACCTGTCACAGAGCTAGGGACAAACCTGGGGCTCAGCAAATACTTGTAGTGTGGATGTGTTACAGAAGGATGGATGGATGGATGGATGGATGGATGGATGGATGGATGGATGGATGCTGTTGGGTTTGGTATGAACTGATTTTAGTAACTGCAGACATTACACATGGATTGGAGTTAGTTTATTGAGCACTCTTCTCTCCAGTCTCTACAAAAGAAAGCTGCAAAGAGACAACAGCAACTCAATAAGGTTAGGATAATTGGTAGAAAAATCATTCCTCAAATACAGAAGTGATTTTGTGGCACTATTCCTTGGTAACAACTACCCATATAAGTTAACAGCAAGGGACATGGAAAGATGGGCAGGAGTAATTGGACAATTTTTTTCATCATTCTTAGCCCATAGCCGCTGGAGTGTGATAAGATGTTTTCACGCTGTATTTATTTCTGATGATCCTCTGTTTATACTCCTAGGCCCGGGTAATGGCAACTATTGGAGTGACCAGGGGACTTGGGGACCATGACCTGAAGGTGCATGACTCCAACATCTACATAAAACCATTCCTGTCTTCAGCTCCAGAGGTACCATTTGAGGTTTTTATTTGTATTTTGAACTATAAAATATTTTTTTCATTTTTCCTTTCCTGACTCTCCCCCCATGTCCAGTCAGCAGCCAGCTCGCGTTGCATGTGCTTCTCAGTGTCTCTCTCGTCACTCCATTCTCACTTTGACTACCCTAGTTCATTCCCTCGTCACCTCCTGCCCAGAGAGCTGCACAGTCTCCCTCTCTGCCTCCTTCAGTCCATCCCACAGATTGCAATCAGGGGAATTTTCCCAGAGAACTCCTCTGACTCCTAATTGCTCAGAAACCTTCAATGTACCCCATTGGCTTGGAGAATCAAGCCAGACTCGTTCAGTTGGCGTGCAAGCCTTGTTGTAATTTTGGTCTAACTTTCTAATCTGATCTTTGTTCCCCTGCATCAGCCAAGTGAATTTGTTTCCTGTACATGACCTTTAATTTTCCAACATTTGTTTAAAACTACTCCGTTTGCCATGATTGTCCTTCCTCCTGACCTCCAAATATACAGTTGTTTTTCTTTGTGGTTGAGCTCAGGTGATTGTCCTATGAGGGCTTTTCTGATTTTCCCCTACCCCAACCAGAAGTAATGTCTTTGCCTACTCCTGACACACAGTGAGCTTTGCCCTGTAATGGCATTTTCACTTACTGTCTTACATCACAATTATTCAGGTATGCCTTATCCTCTCGTTAGATTTTAATTACCTGGAGAACTTGCATCATTCAAACGCTGTTTAAAGAAGTTAAATCAAAAAACATATTGAACATACATGTGGTTTTTTAAAACTCAAGTTTCCTACAGGACTGGAAACCTTAACAGTTCAATGTTCACTTGCAGAGTACATCAGTTAGAAAAGATTTTGCTTCCATGTTATAGAAAATTCTCTTAGTGATTTAGACATTGATCTTTTTTTACATAATAAGAAGGCTGGAATTTGGTAGCTCCTAGTGCAGGTTCTGATTCTCAGCTGTGCCAGAGCTGGTATCCCTATAGTTTTCTGGTTTTTCTTTCATGGTTGCAAGGTGGTGGCAGCAACCCCCAGTATAACATTCTCATGAAAGACAAGAAGGAGAGGCAGCATCAATCCAGCACATTGACTTGCATCTCATTGGCCAGAGCTGTGTCACATGACTTCTCCTAGGCTGTAAAAGGCAGGGGAGGGGGGTACTTTACCAGTTTCTGTAGTAGAGGAGAAAGAAGAAGGAGTGAGTTAGAAGGCCTTATAGTGAAACTGAGTAGTAAACCCAGGCCTCACACTGGAAATGCCAGAATGTTTAGATATACTCCACCTGTATGTTTTTTCTCAAGAATAGGTGCTGGGTTTTTGGTTTCGCGGTTTGGTTGGTTGGTTTTTGATTGGCAGTTGAACACAGGACCTTGCAAGCTCTAACACTGACCTGTGCCCCCAGCTTCTGATGCTGGCTTTGGGGAGGGAGGTTTGTTTTGTTTTTATATTTGGTTTTTAGATAGGGTCTTGCTAAATTGCCCAGGTTGGCCTCAAACTCAGGATTGTTCTGTCTCAGCTGCCCAAGAAGATGAGATTAGAAGCACAAGTCACCAGGCCCCTGCTCTGTAGGTGCTCTTTTAATGAAGGCTCTTTTGATTGGAGGAAGCAAAAACCCACTCCAGCTAACACCAAAAGAAAAGGAGATACTTACTTAAATTATATTGGAAGAGATGCTCACGGTGTCTCGCAAAGGAGTCTTTGAACATCCAGACTTTATGGTAGAGTGATTCTAGAATCAGAGCGGCCCTGGAGAGTTACCATACCAGGAATCTGTCAGCCTTTGTGAGAGAGTTCTGCCATTAATGTGGCCAGCCACATTCCATATGTCTCTGCTACCAATCAACCTATCTTCTCAGTCTCCCCAGTCCAGATTTCTAGAGCGGAGCCTACTTGGCCCAACTTACCTTTTATACAAGTCCACAGTTGTCTTCCCAGACCCTTCAGAGCATATGTCCACACCAGTCAGTGCCTTCTATGGACACAAACAGCCATCTTGGCCTAATGCCAGGTTTCTGTTCTGGCGACTGAAAGGCTCAGGGGTCACTCTAGTTAAACTGGGCTGACTGGGCTGCACAAAATAACCACACAAGACACACAAATACCTTTTTCTTTGGGGTCGCTGTGACGGCTTCTCTGACCTTAAGGGTCTGCAGAAAGAGAGAGCACGCGCTGACCCCTTTTATTGAGGAGAAGCTATTCAAATGAGGCAAGGGGGTCAGGTTTCAGGGGGCTGAGTCTATCTTCATGATGTCCACTGTCAGCAGGTTGACTGACACCTGGGTAGGCCACACCCAAGGGCACAGTAAGAGGAGGGGACACACACAAGGCACTTCCATGGAAGATTCTATCCTAAACAGGGCAAGGGGTTATATTACAAAGGAACAGGTGGAGCTGTAGGGGCTGTAGCAAGACACACCCATGCACAGGACACGACCCTCGAACCCAAGAAGGGTGGAGAAAGCTCTGTCACATTTCTGTGGCTGAGCGCCTCAGCACCCAGCCGGGGAGTGTGACTCAGTCAGGTGTACGGTTGGTCTCCCACAGCCTAACCCTTTGGCAGGGCTGTGAGCAGGATAGTTCCTTTAGAGTCCTTTAGAGCTTAAACTGGCATCTAAAACTCTTCTAGATACAGGGCCTAATAGGTCACTGAGAGGGAAATCTCTAGTAAACATTGAACTTGGAAAAAAACAGACATTTCCTGCCATCACCCAGGATTTTAAATGAGGTCAGCTTGGTAGAAATAACCATTGCTCAAGAGCCTACAGATATTCTCTTTGAAACCTCACAGCAATTGTGCATAGTCAGGATCATTACTATAGAATGGCCCCCAGAAGCTGGTGGGTTCCTGGTCTCTCCTGGCCCACATCATGGATGTTGTTATCATGAATCTCTGCTAAAATGACTTCCCACCAGAAAAAAGGAATAAGTAGGGACCTTGAACTCTGTTTCTTTGAACTCTGCTGAGGATGGGACTTGTAACTTGACTCAGATATTTCTATTTTTTCCCCTTGGATGAGAGGCATTTATCAGACATGTTAAATGGCACCTTCTCTTTCTACTTTCCAGAACTATCTGGAGATCTCAGGAAACCCTAGTTAACCATTTTGCTTCTTAAAGCAGACTGAAAACCTCCTTTTCACTCCCCTCCCCATATACACATGTAAATACCTTTAATATAAGGTGAGAAGAAGCTCAATGTGGTTAGAAGGAGAATCTCTATGTTGTTAGACCTCTTAATCACTGTGCTACTGTTGATTCCAGGAAAAGGTCTACTCTTTGAAAATCTACTCTTTTAGCAATTTTAAAACCTATAATACCTATAGTCACCAGTGCTATGCAGTAGATTCCCTAAAATGTATTCTTCCTGTTTAACTGACCCTTTTTACCCTTTGAACCTCTCCCTGCTACCCACCCAATATACTAAGGTTTGACAGTATCTCATTTAATCCTCATAATAGCCCTGTGAGCTCTTCTACTCATTTTACAGATTGGGAAATTAGAACTCAAGGAAATAAAATAACTCCCCCAAAGTTGCACAGTTATTAAGTAGCACTTAATAACAGTTATTAAGTAGTACTTGTACCTAGGTCTATCTAATGAGATCAAGGATTGTAGGAGAGAGAGCCAAGTTCAAGGAAATTTCTATGGCCACAGTCCTAGTGACCCACAGGGTACTTGCTCAGAGGGCTCTATAGGGGGTACCTTTGTCTTGAACCTAAGAGAGCAGCTTTTTCTTGACACCTTGGAGGACAGACTTTCTCAAAGAAATACTATTGGCTTTGGACTGAAGTAATAGAGTAGAAGAGGTGACTGGGAAAGGCAGTAGTGACTCTGTGTGTGTGTGTGTGTGTGTGTGTGTGTGTATGCAAACCTAGGCCAGAAGAATTGTGCAAAATAAGATTGCGTACCTACAATTTAGCTTAATGGATATGTACTGTATATCCTAAGATTCTCTTACACGAGATTAAAATTGTTGTACATTTTAAATACTTCCAGATGGAGAGGGCTTAGCCAGAGCCAGGAAAGTGGGGAAGGGTGCCATTAGAAGGGGGGGAGAGGAACAGCTTTGGTTGGCTACTATGGAAGAGAACAGAAAAAGCAAGATAGGTTTAGGGACCACTCCTCACCCCCATCCCCAAATGCTGGGGCTAAAATACTCTTTGCCCAGTGGAAGAGTGATAAGATCATACCCAAGAGAAATGGCTGGGGCACTTTTGCTGGGCATCCAGAAAGCCAGGTTAACATGTTTAAATATCTCATGAAGACTGACTCCTCCCTGTATTCATTACTGCCCCCCTCCGCCCCCACTTTCCAACTGTACTTCCTAAGAACATTCCCCTGCTAAGTTTTGTCTTTGCCAAGCATGGATCTTTATTTCACATTTGGTTCTAAATTTCAAACCTAGCTCAGTCTGGTAGTTTTAACGGTTGGGGCTGGGTGGGGGGTGGGGGAGAGTGAGGGTGAGGAAATGTGATTTAGTTCTAAGAAAAGGGGCTCAAAAATCTTCTTGGAAATTAGCATTGTTCCCATTCATCACTGTAGCTCTTAATTTGATTTGATGAGTTAAATATAAATAAATCAAAAACATGTGGGTCAAATTTATGTAAAAAATGCACAGGGGTTTAAAAATTAGAGAAGGGTTTCTAGCCAAACACATTTTCGGTTTCTCTGAACACAAGGCGCTGGAAAAATCTCCAGTTTGCCAAACCTGAAGAGCAGCCGCCAGGTTTGCTGAGTCTCCCTCAAACCTTCCGCTGGGGTAGAAGGCAAGGATTTCTGGCCAAGCCCTGAATTCCATAAGAGGCCCCGCCAAGGGAGCTGAGGCCTGCTGCTGGCTGTGGCTCCAAGTGCAGGGTAGGAGCCTTCTCTGTTGACAGCACTGAGTTTTCTGTGTGTGGCAGCACAGGCTGCAGCCCCTGCCCTAGCAGAAAGAAAACCTCCCCAGCCAGGTCACCATCTTCTTGCTGATGAAGCTCACTGAAACTTTTGTGCATCCTTAAAAAAAAGAGTTCAAGTGGAGAAGAAAGGCATGTGTTCACTCATAGGCCCCAGAGCCCAGGCCCTCCATGTTCCTGTCTTTTCAAACAATTCTCCCACCTCCATCCAACACACACAATATGTCCTATGACTCAGGCAGCTTGGCACCAGCCTGCAGCTTCAACTTCCAGATGTTCTCTGCTCCACACCCGTTTGTGGCCTGTGACAGGCCCTGTGTACAGCCAGGATTCTTCTTAATTTCACCCTTCTTTCCAGCCTCCAGTCCAAGACAGTGCTGTTGCTTTAGCCCCAGTTGAGGCTCTTGGAAGAACAGGGCCTTTTTCTGTTTGGGAGCCAACTCCTTCCCCCACTCAGCAGTTCCCTCTTCTTCTTGTCCCTGCCAGACAGAACCCCCACGGAGCCTGATTTTTCTCTCTGCTTCATTTTTTCCTCCTCTTAATTTTCAGGATTCCGATCAGCTATTTTTTGTTCATTCGTTTGTTTTGTTTTGTTTTTAATGGCTCTAGGTCACTCATTTAGCTCATTCTTGGACTTTTTTATCTAGATAATATATTTTTTTTTTATCTGAAATAGCCTTCTCTAAAAGAACAGACAGGATCCAGCCCTGGCACCAGTGGCCGGAACACATAATTCCGCCTGCCTTTCCTCTTGGGGAATGCAGGGGGTGGGGTGCAAAAAGGCCTACATTGACAAGTTATGGAGAAAAGCAAAGAAGAACATGGGTGAGATTGCTGGCATGAGGTCAAAGGTAGCCAGTAAATAATTCCCCTTCCCTCCCAGCTTTTGGAAGGCTTCACACTTAGGGATTCCCAATGTTCACTTCGATGTTGAAAGAGAAGGACTATTTTTGTTTAGGACTCATGCTGTGTCCCATGAAAACATGACTAATATTTGAGGCCTTATGTATACATCTTAACATTTGTAGACTTCTGATTCTTGGTGGCTTTGTGTACCCCAAGCCAAAATCTGGGTTGGGGAAAGAGAATGTTTTGTATATTTTGTGCTTTCTGTATCTGGCCAGGTCATAAGAAACAGTATGGGTATATGATATGGCTGTGCTATAGGAATTTAAGCAGAATATGATTATATATACAGTGCATAAACATAAATAGGTGAAAAGGTGTATATGGGACTGAGCATCTTGAAGTTTTCAAAAAGGGCAGCAGCCATTACTTATGTGTTTTGTTTTGTTTTAGGTTTTTTAGTGCTGGGGAGTGAACCCAGGGGTGCTCTACCACTGAGCTACATCTCTGGCTCTTTATATTTTTATTTTGAGACAGGGTCTCACTAAGTTGCTAAGTCTAGCCTTAAACTTGTGATCTTCCTGCTTCAGCCTCCCAAGTAGTTGGTATTAGAGGATTACACTGCACCTGGCCAGAAATTCTCTTTGGCTGACACCTGAGGAAACACTTATTTTTTGAGATTCTGTAGACCTCTCAGAATAACCTTAGGGATTGCAGTATGATAGAGTAGAGGAAAAAACTCAGCCTGGGACTCAGTCTTGGCTCAAAGCTCTGTCTCTACGGTTTACTAGCCAAGTGACTTTGAGAGAGTTACTTAAGTCTCAACTTCCTCTTCAGTTAAAAAGGAGGACAATAGGGTTGTTATATGAAGAAAACCAAGGGGAAAACATGAAATGGCAGATGTGAAGTACTTAGCACACAACCTGGCATAATAAATAATATCTCCTACTCCATCAAAACCACAAGATTTCAGTGGCTCTTTCTACAGGGATCATGAGTAAAACACTGGAGAACATGTC